AACTCTGAAAGAAGAATTTGCCAACAAAGAATTAATTATAAACCCAGCAGAAATGTCACTCACATATGATGGTGAAATTAGTTGGAAAATACCACTTTGGTGATAGAAATTACAATGGAGATTACATGATAGAATTTTGCACAACCAGTAGCTTATTCATTGCAAATACCTATTTTCAACAATAAAAAGGGCATTTATACACCTGGACTTCACCGTGTGGAATACACAGGAATGAAATCAACTAAATCTGTGGAAAGAATTGAACAAAGCCAGGAGCCAAATGTGGAACATGTCATCAATTTCTCATGTCCAAGTTTAAGTTGAAGCTGTAGAAAATTAAAACTACACTAGACACATCATATAATATTGAGTGCATCCCACCTGAATTTAGAGACCACCTGAAGAATAGATAGGATGCATTGACCACCAGTGACCAAGGACCAGACAAGTTACGGGATGACATCAAGAACATCATACACAAAGCAAACAGTCATTGAAATGGCAGGAAAGGAAGAAAAGACCAAAGTGGATGTCAGAAGAGACTTTGAAACTAGTTCTTGAGAGGAGAGTAGCTAAATGAATTGACAGAATGATGAATTAAAAGAACTGAACAGATTTCAAAGGGCAGCTCGGGAAGACAGAGTAAAGTATTAAAATGAAATATGCAAAGACCTGGAATTAGAAAACCAAAAGGGAAGAATACTGTTGGCATTTCTCAAGCTGAAGAAAAAATTCAAACCTCAAATTGCAATGTTGAAGGATTCTATGGGCAAAATATTGAACAATGCAGGAAGCATCAAAAGAAGATGAAATGAATACACAGAGTCACTGTACTAAAAAGAATTGGTAGGCATTCACCCATTTCAGGAGGTAGCATATGGTCAAGAATCATTGGTACAGGGAATGTGTGCTCAGAGCTGTATTCTTTCTCCACACCTATTTAAATCTGTATGCTGAGCATATAATCCCAGAAGGTAGACTGTATGAAGAAGAACATGGCATCAGGATTGGAGGAAAACTCATGAACAGCCTGTGATGTACAGATGACACAGCCTTGCTTGTTGAAAGTAAAGAAAACTTGAAGCACTTACTGATAAAGATCAAAGACTGCAGTCTTCAGTATCAATTACATCTCAACATAAAACAAAAATTCTTACAACTGGACCAATAAGCAACATCATGATAAGTGGAGAAAAGGTTGAAGTTGTCAAGGATTTCATTTAACTTTTGTGATTGGATGCACAGTTAACACCCATGGTTGTAGCAGCCAAGAAATCAAGAGAGATACTGCATTGTGCCTATCTGCTGCAAAAGACTTCTTTAAAGTGTTGAAGAACAAGGATGTCAGTTTGAAGACTTAAGGTCAGCCTGACCCATGCCATGGTATTTTCATAGCCTCATATGCATGTGAAAGCTGAACCGTGCATGAGGAAGACCATAGAAGTGATGCATTTGAATCACAGTGTTGGGGAAGAATATTGAAAAAAGTATGACTTCCAGAAGAAGGAGCAATTCCGTTTTTGAAGTACAGCCAGAATGCTCCTTGAAAGTGAGAATGGCTAGACTTCATCTCTTGTACTTTGGATATGTTATCAGGTGAGACTAGTCCCTGGAGAAGGCTATCATACTTGGTAAAGTAGAAGGTCAGTGAAAAAGTGAAGACCTTTACCAATTACCAAGATGGATTGGCACAGTGGCTGCAGTGGGCTCAAGCGTAGCAATGGTTATGAGGATTGCACAGGACTAGGCTGTGTTTCTTTTTATTGTACATAGGGCTGCTGTGAGTCAAAAACAACTCAAAGGCAAATAACAAAAACAACAATGTTTATAGAAGCAAATTGCCAAAGAGTTTCTCCTATGCTGGGTGAGTTCAAACTGCCAACCTTTTCAATAGCAGCCAAACATTTAACCATTTCACCCCCAGGGCTCCTTCATTTCATATAGGAAATGCAAGGTAAATGTTTGGCAGCCTTTTTTTCCCCTCCCCTACCAGTTTTCTAAAGTAACTGTTTTGATATTCTAGTACCATCTTTTAGAAATGATCATTGTGTTTGGTTATGTATTTCAACATACCTGATGATTTTATTGTCTATATTGATGAAATTTGACCTCTTTAAGATGACTCCTGGGAACTTTTGTTAAGCTTAGCAATTTTAACAAATCTGTAGCTCCCTTGTTAACTGATGTGACAAGATGTCCAGGCTCTTACAAATTTCCTGTCAAAGGTCAGAGTCCCCTGGTTAATTTTAGCAGAAAATGATATTTTGGAGTTCACTGAATGGTCATTGTTTCTGATTTTCATTGGGTAGAGTTAAGAAATATGTATATTGTTTTTATCTTTTTAAGATGAAGTATATTATGAGTTTGAATCAGTGCTTCAATTCAATTTCAGGCCTCATGGTTTTTATTTTTTCATTCACATATCAATGTTGCCTTTCTCTCATGAGCAAATCCCAGTCCTTAGTGACTCAAGTAGTTACTATATCCTGTAATCACACACAAAAAATGTCTGAATAACAATAGCAATAACAATATAATTCTGAAAAAAGTTTTGGTTGCCAAACTCTGTGTTGGGATTTATTCTTAGGGAACATACATAACAGTTGTTTTATTTTGGTTCTTTCACTTAGGGCCTCTCTTTATTATGTTACTAATTGGGTCCATATTTAGTTAGGTTCCTTTTAATTTTTATGAATACTTTAACATTTTAAAAATAAGTCCATAGTTTAAAAATCTACACAAAGCACAGTATATAAAAGGTCACACATAAATGTCTATATACAAGTATTCAACGTAGTCCCATCTTATTTACCTAAATAGTAGCTTTTCTCCTCTGTGGCTTGCCTCTTTCTTCTAAATTTACAGTATATTCTGGAAATGACTCCATAATAGTTTAGAACAGTCCTTCAATTGTTTTTACATCTACATGTTCAACGGTTTCTTATTATGAATGTGTGTGTGGATTAGGGCTTTCCTATTAGAAAAAGCAGCTATGTGCATACTTTTTAAAAGGGAAAAAAAAATTTTATCCATGTATATTTGGGAAAGATTCTTAGAAGTGGGATTGATTAGAATTACATACAGTAGAGATACACATGATTTTAGAAGGTAGTGCTAAATTTCCTTTTATGGAGGTGTGCTATTTTACATGCCCATCCTCAGAGTATTCGGAGGACCTGTTTTGCTACAGCCTTGCTTTCATAGTATGTTGTCAAACTTTTGTGGACTTTTGCCAGTCTGATAAGTGAGACATACTAGCTCAATTTGAATTGAGTTTCTCTTATTATAAAGGAGCTCTGGTGGTGTAGTGCCTAAGGAATTTGACTGCTAACCAGAAGGTTGGCGGTTCAAATGAACCAGCCACTCAGCAGAAGGAAGAGTCACAATCTACTTCTGTATAAGTGAGAAACATTAGCTCAGTTTTAATTGGATTTCTCTTATGAGCGACAGTTAGCAGCTTTTCATATGTTTCTTGACTCTGTTTATATCTATAGGATATAACAATAATCATATATTATATGATTGTTGGGACTTTTCATCTCTGTTGTTTATAATTTATACACACACACCACCCAGGGATATTGCTTCCTTGTTTTTTTTTTTTTTTTTTTTTTCTTTTTTTGGCTTTGCTCCTGGCATGAAGAGACCAATAACTGTT